ACCCGTCGCCATCTTCCTCTTGACCCGCGCGGCGCGCTCGGGCTCGTCGACGGCCCGGGCCGCCTCGTCGTCGGCGCGGTCGCGCGACGACGCCAGCGCCGCCGCGTCGGCGCCCGCGGCGGACTTGAGGGCGCCGAGGTCGCCCTCGAAGAGGTCGTCGTCCGACGAGTCCGACTCCCTCCGGCGCCGCTTGAGGCGGCCCGGCGCGGGGCCGCCGTCCAGGGCGTCGCCGCGGCGCCAGCGGAGGGACCCGGGCCCCCGCAGCTCCTCGCGCGGGTAGAGGGACGCGCAGGACGCGCCCCGGCCGAGCGCGGCGACGGCGAACGCCTCGGACCGCTTGAGGCCGCGCGCGACGTCGTCCTTCCGCGCCAGCAGGCCGTCGAGCGCGAGGCCGAGGCGCTCGACGGTCCTGCGGAGCTGCTTCGAGGGCTGCTCGTCGAGGACCTTGGCGAGGCGCCGCAGCGCCTCGTTCGCGTCGTCCTCGGCCTCGCCGGAGTAGGTCTTCGCGTCCGAGTAGTAGCGCGCCTCCACGAGGCGCGCGTCGCGGTACTCGAAGTTCTCGAGGGTCGCGGCGCCGCGGACCTCGCCCGTGACGTGGAGCGCGAGCGCGTCCTGCGCCGCGAGGTAGGCCCCGAACCAGCGCGCGGGCGCGAAGCCTTCCCGCGCGCGCTCGAGCTCCGCGACCGCGGATTCCGCGGCGGCCATCGTCGCCTCGAGGCGCGGCAGGTAGTAGGCGAGGCGCCGCTCCAGGTCCATCAGGGCGACGCGAACCAGTTGTAGTAGGAAAAAGAACCAAAGGCCGAGATGACGCCCCCGAAGACGTAGCCGCGGAGGTGCGCCGCGCAGCGCGGGACGACGACGAGCAGCGTCGGCAGCACGAAGAAGGGCGCGAAGGCGCTGTACGAGATCTCCCGCTGGGCGCCCGCTGGCATGTCCCGGCGTGCTCGGTCACGAACTAGCACGCGCTCATGCTCTCTGGAGCTTCAAAACTTCATCCAAACCGGCAACACTGGCTTCATGAAAATGCGGTCGCCACGCCCCGCGCCCACTCTCCGCCTTAAAAACAAAGTCAGCCGTGGCTTACCGGAACGCGCCCTGGCTGTCGTGAGTGTTCCGCGCGCGCGCGTTCCGAAAAAAGCATCCACGCTTCGAGACTGTTCCGAGAGATGATCGCTCGTCCAAAAATCAGCCGAAACGAGTGGAAAACGGCCGAGATATGAGCCTTTGAAGTTGGGAATTTCGCTCTCTTTTGCTGCCCTGACGGGCACGACGGACGCGGCCGTCAGCGACGACACGTGGCGGCCGTCGAAGGTCGACGCGCGCGCCTCGGAGGCCCGGGGGCTCTCGAGGTCCGCGCGGCCCCGGGCCCGCGCGGCCGCGAGGAGCGCGTCCGCCTTCGCGCCGTCCGCCCCGCCTGCGACGATCTTGAGGCTGTCGCTGTCGGCCCAGGTCGCGCTCGAGTCGCGCTTCGCCTCGACCTGGACCTCGGCGATGGCCCGGAGCCAGGCGTCGCGGTCCTTGGGGCTCTCCGCGCGGAGCACGAAGCGCGCGTCCTCGTGCGGCAGCCGCAGCGAGAGCGTTCTGGCTTTCATGCGCGCGTCGCTTCCGACCTCGAGGAGCACGGGCCGCACGTCGACGGCGGCGAGGAGCTCCTTGCGCTGGTCCGTCTTGTAGTACTTGAGGTAGGGGCCCGACAGCACGAAGTAGCGCTTCTGGTAGCCGGCCATGGCGCCCCGGCTCAGCTTCTCGAGGTAGCCGTGCTTTTTAATGACGTGGAACGAGTCGGCGACGTGGCTCTTCGTCTCCTCGGCGATGGACGGGCGGTCGAGGTCCTTGCCCTTGTTCACGATGCCCCTCCCGGAGCGCTCCTTCTTCAGCATGGTCACGTCGGTGGTGCGGGCTGCTTGTTTTGTCGATAAGCCCTCGGGAGCAACGTTTCTTCCGAGTCGGTGCATCGACTGGCCAATCATATCGCTCGAGACACTCTTCGCGCTCTCTCGGCACCCCGGCGACACTTCTGCGACAGGGGATGAAGTTCCAGCGCGGCGCGGGCGAGCACTGGAACCGCGGCTCGCGCTCTTCTGGCTCTTCTGGGTCCTCTGCGCCTTCGCGCTGGCCTACCGCCGCTTCGGCCCGCGGGGCGACGACGGGGCCCCCGCGGGCTACGGCGCGCTCGACGACGGCGCCAAGGCCCGGGCCGCGCCGGTCTAAAAGTGCTTACGTGCGCAGTTCGCCAAGTGACCGGGCCGTCGTCGTTAGGTTCGCGGTCGCGTGGATTTCGGTGGCTGGTCGAATTACTGACTTGTGGTTAAGCCGGGCCGCGGGGAATAATTGAAGGGAAAGGGGGCCGGCTGGGGTATCTGGGTTGCGGCTAGCACGTGCCGCAGGTCAGCGCGCACGCGTCCTCAGCTTTGACGTCGAAGCTATCCGTTTTCTTGCAGTTCTTCGCCTTTTTGGCCACAAACTTCTCGCATGTATTCTTCGTCTTTTTGAAGTACCAAGATGATGAGTCGGCGCACTCCTCCTCGCACTCGCCGCACGCGACGGGACAGGCCTCCTTGCCTACCAAGCATGACGGTAACGATTTTTCATCGTTTTCCCAGAGGAGATCTCTCGAAAATCGTCACGGCCACAGGACGCTGCTCCTTGCTCGACACGTCGCTCTCGTCCGCGTACTTGCTCTTGCACAGCTTCGACTTCTTCGCGACGTAGTCGCAGTCGTACTTACTCTTCTTCCAGTACCAGCTCGTCGAGTCGGCGCACACGGCGTCGTCGACCTCGACCTCGCACTCGCCGCACGTCGCTGGGCACGCGACCTGCGGCGGGGGCGTTTCGCGCGCACGCGCGCGCATCGGCGGACGCCGCGCGGACCTGGCCCTTGACATCGAACTCGTCCCGCTTCTTGCAGTTCTTCGCCTTCTTCGAGACGTATTCCGAGCACGTGTTTTTCGTTTTCTTGAAGTACCAAGACGTGCTGTCTTCGCAGAAGTCGATAGCGACCGTCGAGACTGACGGCGCGGGCGTCGGCTGGGGCGTCGGTTGGGGCGATGGCTTCCACGTCGGCTTCCGCGTCGGTTGGGGCGTCGGCCGGGGCGTCGGCTGGGGCGTCGGCTGGGGCGTCGGCTGGGGCGTCGGCGCGAACACGGGTGCAGCGCTCGGATCTCCAGGAATGGGCGTCGGCGCAGTGGACGGCTTGGGCGTCGGCCGGGGCGTCGGCCGGGAGGTCGGCTGGGGCGTCGGCCTGGCGGAGGGCTCGGGCATCGGCGCAGCGGACGGCTCGGGCATCGGCGCGGCCGTAGGTGTGGCCGTCGGATTGACCGACGGCGCGGACGTCGGCGCGGCGGACGGCTCGGGCATCGGCGCGGTCGTAGGCGTGGTTGTTGGCGCGGCGGACGGCGCGGCTGTCGGCGCGGTCGTAGGTGTGGCCGTCGGCGCGGGCGACGGCGCGGACGTCGGCGCGGCGGACGGCTCGGGCATCGGCGCGGTCGTAGGCGTGGTTGTTGGCGCGGCGGACGGCGCGGCTGTCGGCGCGGTCGTAGGTGTGGCCGTCGGCGCGGGCGACGGCGCGGACGTCGGCGCGGCGGACGGCTCGGGCATCGGCGCGGTCGTAGGCGTGGTTGTTGGCGCGGCGGACGGCGCGGCTGTCGGCGCGGTCGTAGGTGTGGCCGTCGGCGCGGGCGACGGCGCGGACGTCGGCGCGACGACGATCGCGACGTCGTACGCGACGCCGTCCGCGTCGCCGACGACGACCTCGACGACCTCGGCCCAGCCCTCCGGGAAGTAGGCGACGGCGAAGGTCCCCGAGGGCTGGGACTCCGTCGAGAACCACGAGATGCCCGACGCGCCCTGGACGAACTCGCCGTGGGAGAGCGCGGACGTGTAGTTCTGGAGAGTCGCGGAGAATTTGATGGACAGGGCGGCGTAGGACTCGGCGTCGACGTGTATGGCGACGCCGCCCTCGGGCGCGGGTTCGAGCAGGAGCTGGGCCGAGCGCGCGTCGAGGCGGCGGCGCGAGTCGAGGGGAGGCGGCGTGGGCGCGTAGATCGCCGACGGTTGAGGAGCCGGCATCTCGCTCGGCGCGGCTGTAGGCCCATACCTGCGCGGCGGGAGCTTCACCATCGATATTTCGAACTTCGTCAGGGCTCTGGGTCGCGCGTCGGCATCTGTGTCGGCGACGGATAGGGTTGAGGCGACGGGATCGACGACGGCGTCGACGCCGTCGGAGAGTACGTCGGCGCGAACGTCTTCGACGGTGCCACGGTGGGCGGTTCGCAGGAGAAAGTGACGCCGCAATCGGTGACCGTGCAGCCAGCATCAGAGGCGAAATCCGAAGCCGAGACACTGCTCGACAGACACCATCCGAGGTCTTGGTCGAAGGCGTCGGCGAAGGAGAACATGCCGGACATGTCCGTCACGGACGACGTGTCCCAGGCGCCGATGTCCTGGTCGAAGTCGTCAGCGTAGATGAACATGCCGCCCATGTCTGTCACCCTTGACGTATCCCAGGCGCCGATGGCTTGGTCAAATCGAAACGCGCTGTCAAACATCCCTAACATGCTCGTCACGGACGACGTGTCCCAATCGCTGATGTCCTGGTCGAAGGCCAAAGCATAGCTGAACGTCCAGCTCATGCTCGTCACGGAGGCCGTGTTCCAGGCGCCGATGTCCTGGTTGAAGGCGTGAGCCTCTTCGAACAAGTAGTTCATGCTCGTCACCTTCGACGTGTCCCAGTCGCCGATGTCTTGGTTGAAGGCGGAAGCATAGTTGAACATGGCGCTCATGTCCGTCACGGCCGACGTGTCCCAGCCGCTGAGGTCCTGGTTGAAGGCATCAGCGTAGAAGAACATGGACGACATGTCAGTCACCTTCGACGTGTCCCACGAGCTGATGTGGCCGTAAATCGCCTCCGCCGCGTCCGCGTCCGCGAGCCACGCGTCCACGGCGATCTTGAGATCGGCCTTGGATGCGAAAGCAAAGGACGTCGGTGCGGGGCTTCTCGTCGGCAAGGGGGTCGTGTAGGACGGCGCCGCACTCGGCTCGTACGTCGGCTCGCCTGTGGGCATCATCGACGGGTCCGAGGTCGTCGGGAGGTACGACGGCAAGAACGACGCAGTCGGCGAGTAGGTCGGGATCCTCGTGGGGGAGTCGGGCCACACCAACTCCACGAGGCCCACGTAGTGCCGCGCGATGAGGACGGCGTCGAGGATCGACGTCGCGTTGTCCCGGTTGACGTCGCCACAGCCGAAATCGATGCGCTCGTAGCACGTCGTCGTCGGCAGCGCCAGATCCTGCGTGTACATGGCGATGAGCAGAGCGTCCGTCACGTCGACGCCGTCGAGGCCGTCGACGTCGCCCGGGACGGATCCGCAGAAGGTCTCGAAGTCAGTCGGCGCGGTCGTCGGGACGCGCGTCGGCGCCGGCGACAGCGTCGGCGCGAGCGTCGGGGTCTGCGTCGCCGCCTCGGAGCTGAGGTAGACCAGGGACGACACGTTCGGCAGCGAGACGCCCGCGGCGTTCGTCGCGACCAGCTCGAGGAATCCGAAGCGCTCGATGAAGAACTCGTCGTCGAAGCGGAGCGTCGCGAGCTCGTGCGCGCGTCCGCCCTCGAGGCAGTCCGTCGTGTACATGGCCACGCGCTCGCCCGCGAGGTTCGCGACGACGCTGCCGGAGAAGCTCTTTTCGTACGACGTCGCGTTGGCGTTGGCCTGCCAGCCGAAGCCGACCGCGCAGAGCGTCGCGGCGGAGATGACGGAGATCTCCAGCTGGTCTTCGGACCCGGCCAGGAGCCGCGCCACGACGAGGGCCTCGTCGGAGCCTCCCGCTCGTTCGTAGACGACGATCGCGTCCTCACCCACGCTCCGGCGCCGCGAGTCCGAGATGGACACGGACGACACGTCGAGCGTCGCGAAGTCGAAGCCGTCGCCGAAGACGAGGTCCGCCCAGTGGCCCGACGCGCGCGCCTGCCCGAACCAGCCGACGTCGTCCTCGGTCCGGAAGAACATGCCCTCGTCGTCGCCGGCGAGCCGCGCCTCGACGAGCTCGACGTTCGCCGTCGCGGTCACGAGGACGGACGTGAACTCGCCGACGTCGGACGAAAGCTCGACGTAGACCTGGGCGACCTTGCTGTCCGTCGCGTGCGCCGCCAGCACGACCTGGACGTACGAGCTGCGCCCGAAGCTGGGCTGGGCCGTCGGCGCGCTCGGGACCGCGGTCGGCGCGGAGCTCGGCGAGGAGCTCGGCGAGTCGAGCGTCCTCGTCGGGCCGCTCGTCGGCGCGACGACCGGCGTCGCGCTCTCCCAGCAACTCCCGCACGTCAGGTCGCACATTCCGGCGTGCCCGCAGCCGTCGAGGCAGAAGACGGTCTCGCACGCGTCCGCGGTGATCGCGACGAAGCCCGCGCACACGGCCGTCGTGAAGACGTCGCGGCAGGACGTCGGCGCGTAGCTGGGGGAGGCCGTCGGGACTTGGCTGGGCTCGTAGGTCGTGGGGGCGTAGGTACTCGGCGCGTAGCTCGGGGCGCGAGACGGCGCGCAGGTCGCCGAACCGAAGGTGACGCCGCAGTCGGTGACCGTGCAGCCGGCAGATGAGGCGAAATCCGAAGCCGAGACACTGCTCGAGATGCACCAGCCGAGGTCCTGGTCGAAAGCCGAAGCACCCCGGAGCATGGAGCGCATGTACTTGACGGACGACGTGTCCCAGGCGCCGATGTCCTGGTTGAAGGTGTCAGCTTCGTAGAAGATGTAGCTCATGCTCGTCACGGACGCCGTGTTCCAGCCGCCGATGTCCTGGTCGAAGGCGGAAGCACGCGAGAACATGCTGCTCATGTCCGTCACGGACGACGTGTCCCAGGCGCCGATGTCCTGGTTGAAGGCGCGAGCGTAGTAGAACATGGCGTTCATGTCCGCCGCGGCCGACGTGTCCCAAGCGCCGATGTCCTGGTCGAAGGCCGAAGTCTGGCCGAACATGTAGCTCATGTCCGTCACGGACGCCGTGTTCCAGGCGCCGATGTCCTGGTCGAAGGCGTCAGCTACGTAGAACATGGCGCTCATACTCGTCACGGACGACGTGTCCCAGGCGCCGATGTCCTGGTCGAAGGCGGAAGCGTCGTAGAACATGTAGTTCATGTCCGTCACGGACGACGTGTCCCAGGCGCCGATGTTCTGGTCGAAGGCGTTGGCGCTGTAGAACATGTAGCTCATGTCCGTCACGGACGACGTGTTCCAGGCGCTGATGTCCTGGTTGAAGGCGTCAGCGCCGTAGAACGTGCCGCGCATGTCCGTCACGGACGACGTGTCCCAGGCGCCGATGTCCTGGTCGAAGGCGGAAGCCCCTTGGAATATGGAGCTCATGCTCGTCACGGACGACGTGTCCCAGGCGCCGACGTCCTGGTCGAAGGCGTCAGCGTAGTAGAACATGGTGCTCATGTCCGTCACGGAGGACGTGTCCCAGGCGCCGATGTCCTGGTCGAAGGCGGAAGCTCTGCCGAACATGTATCTCATGTCCGTCACGGACGACGTGTCCCAGCCGCCGATGTCCCCGTTGAAGGCGTCAGCACTGTAGAACATCCAGCTCATGTCCGTCACGGACGACGTGTCCCAGCCGCCGATGTCCTGGTTGAAAGCGCCAGCATCGAGGAACATGTAGCTCATGTCCGTCACGGACGACGTGTCCCAGCCGCCGATGTCGTCGTCGAAGGACTGCGCGTTCGTGTTGTAATGCGTGCAGGCCCAAGAAGCACCACAAAACAGCTCCGACATGTCCGTCACCTTCGACGTGTCCCACGCGCTGATGTGGCCGTACGTCTCTTCGGCCGCGTCCGAGTCCGCGAGCCACGCGTCGACGGCGGTCTCGAGCTCGCTCTTGTCGGCGAACGCGGTCGGCGTCGACCCGTAGCTGTACGAGAAGGTGATGTACTCGTAGAGGTAGCTGTAGCCGGACGTCGTCGGCGCGGCCGACGGCGCGGGCCAGAACGCCGCGGGGGCCCACGAGCAGTCCTCCGTCGCCAAGCTCGCCTTCGAGCCCGTCACCACGACGCCCGGCGTGTCGCAGAGCGCGAGCGTGCCGTAGGCGTCGCCGCGCAGGTACCAGTCCTGCTCGTCGGTCGTGACGGACAGTGCGTAGACCTCGGCGGAGCCGCCCATCCCGACGTTGTCGCCGTAGCCGTTGTACGGCGCCGCGTTGCCCGCGAACGTGCAGGAGTCCAAGTAGGTGCTGCCGCCGCCGACGAAGACGGCCCCGCCCTGGTAGTCGCCGATGTTGTCCGTGAACGCGCACCGCGTCGCGCTCCAGCCGCCGGCTGCGAAGACCGCGCCGCCGTAGCCCCAGTTGAGATCTGGGCCGTCGGCGAAGTTGCCGG